GCTGTTAGAACCCCTTTTTTTTTTTTTTTAAAGATGGCAGCCTTTCGTCTTCATCACCGGCCCTGACTGCTCAGTGCTCACACGCATCTACTGCCCCCGTCGGCCTTGGTGTATTTTTTTTGTCTATCGACTTGGTACCGAAGTCAACCCTAGTCCAAAAAGAATTAAAAACAGACGACAGACCTATTCCTTTATCTGTTTTTTTCATGATATTTTTTTAAATGCCTTTTCTTTCCTCTCGTTGCAGGCATTAAGGTGAACTGTCAGGGTTCTTGTGGCATCTCCAACAAAGTGAACGATACGTCCTGGAGTCTGGAGGAGCAGTACTTCAACAGCATGCTCTCTGTTGCTGACAAAGGTGACGACAGGAGTGACAAACGAGTGTTTGTGTGTTGATCATGTATTGAAAAGGCTTCAAGAGGTATTTGTTTTTCCAAAGCGTTTTAATTTAGCAAATTAATGTTAAGTCAGAAATGAGGTAAAAAAGGAGAACTTAATACCGACAAATGACCTCCTGGTGGACATATAGGAGAATGCAACATGCAGACACCTCCACAATGGCATCACTTTCATTTTTTTGGAAATTTTGTTCTTAGACCAGTGTTAATATATAAATAGTGGGTCAAGACTAAACGTTGGGTCAGCGAAAATATAATTTAAATAAAACGCAACATAAGGAGGCTTGAACAGATTTAGAGCCAAAACATTAGTATGTGAGAAAAATTAACTGCTGTAACCATGACTGCATTGTTACTTGGATTATGTTATTTGTTTTATCTTCCCAAAGCTAGATATTTATATATAATAGTTTTAGGAAAAGATTTTTAAAAAAACAAAATCATATATATAATATATAAATAGTGGGTCAAAACTAAACGTTGGGTCAGCGAAAATATAATTTAAATAAAACGCAACATAAGGAGGCTTGAACAGATTTAGAGCCAAAACATTAGTATGTGAGAAAAATTAACTGCTGTAACCATGACTGCATTGTTACTTGGATTATGTTATTTGTTTTATCTTCCCAAAGCTAGATATTTATATATAATAGTTTTAGGAAAAGATTTTTAAAAAAACAAAATCATAGAGGAAGATGTGTCTGTGACAGAGTGCAGCGAAGAGAATAAAAGGAGCCCGGACTGTGTTGAAATGCCACGGCCTCTGTCATAACAGAATATACAAAAACAGCGTGTAACATGAGTGTAGGCTCCGCCCCTTCACCTCATTTGCTTCATGGGAAATGGGTTGCAGAACAGGATTAATCTTTCAGCAGCAGCAGCAGCAGGTATGTGCAGCGAGGAGGAGTTAAAAGCTGCAGAGCAATCGCCCCTGGAGGGCAGATCCAGCCATGCGGTCTGCACGACGCCTCCCTAAGGTCACTCCTGGTAGTGGTTTCGGGAGAAGGGCGGGCCTCCTCTATACAGCACAAATTTGGATTTTAACTTTCCTCAAGGCCTCGCCTTCTTCCGGACGTCAGAGCTCACAGGAAGTCGTTTCTGTTTTTTTTGCGATGGGAGCATAATCTTTCATCTGTTGTGTGAGCTGTTGATACTGAAGGGTGTAGTGGGAAAAGTGCAGCGTGTGCACAAAATCTATCGTTGAGACAGATCACACCGTGGTGCTCGGTGATGCTCCTCCGAGCGTGAAATCTACACTGGTTAAAAGTCAGCGAAGCAGGTCAATGTTTAACTATCTGCAAAACGTGAGCTTCATGCTTTTCGGTTTTTATATCCAGTCAACTGCTGGAGTGTGGTTTGACTAATGCACTGCACTTCTGTGGAATGAGGAGCTGCTCGAAACTCCCTCTTAACGTTTGCCGCCTCAGCAGTAAAAACGACTCCTATGACGGCTCTCTGAGGGATGAGAATGATGAGGAAGTGGATCAGTGGACAGAGGAGGCTGTCGCCCAACCAGGACGTTAGGGAGTTGGATTAAAAATTGCAAAATTAGAAAGACTGTCAAGTTCCACTTGTTTCCTGGACTTAAGGTGGGCACAGGAAATCTGGTATGGTCCAGGCTTCTGCTCGGGAGGTCTACATAGATGAGACAGTGCCAGCTACTGGGAGAGTGAAAACTCTCACACTGATGGCATAGCAAGTACATTCAGACATCCATGTCTACTTCCATAAACTTTGTTTTAAATTTTGGGTCCACGTAAAAGTCAAGTAAAGACGATCTCTACTAAATGACTAAATGCTCTTCTCTCTATCCCTGTGAAGATGCAGAGAAAGCCCTGATGTAATGCTCTTCTCTCTATCCCGGTGAAGATGCAGAGAAAGCCCTGATGTAAGTGAGTTAGAAATGAAGACACTCGATCTCCCAAATCCCATTGTCTTCTAAAATTGCCTTGTGCCGCCCTAAAGGGGCAGGGAACACAGAGGGAAGCAGTAAGGAAGTCTCTCTCACACGCACACACTCACACTCACACACAGAAAAAGCCTGCTTGACTGTGGCTGACTGATAATGTGGTATGCGGTAAATGCTTGGCGGTTGATGTTGTGCCGAGCAGTGATGTCAGCGTTCAGTCTTCATCCTGTCACTGTTGTCAGTTAATGACCTTCAGGAAGCCAGGAGCTTCCTCCTGCAGCAGTTTTGACATCTTTCCTCTCCGTTTAATTCTAAAATTCCCATGAAATGTGTTTAAACGTTTTTCTAGCTTAAACTGAATCCCCTGATCTGTATCGTTTTTTTTTCCTGCTTGCTATGAGGCAACCAAATTGTATTGCACCCGCTCGTCTGTGCCAGAGTCCATTGAGTAACGCATTG